CATTTTCTTTACGTTCCAAAAATCGGCTGTTACTGCCCTCCCTAACATTGCTCACACCTGCAGCAAATAAAATGGCAAAAAATGACCAAGGTGTGGTGCAGGCTAATTTTCCTGACCCACATTGTTTAACTAATGGAACCTCCAGAAAGAGCTCGTGTTAAGGCATTTGCTCTAATCTGTGATCTTCTCCTGGATGTCCGTATTCACTGGACAAGAAATGGAGGTTTGATGGGTGGAGACTTCTACCTACTATCAGAAGAACTGAGACGATAACGGTGAAGTCACAATTACTGCGGTATTGAATGACGCATAAGGGTGGGAGGGAGGTGGAACGTGTCGGAAAGTGGGTTTGTGGATCCTCTGAATAGCAACAACATGGTATGCATGGGGACACACGAAATTGGTGTACATGTTCCTGTATTTGGCAGTGGTTACACAGCATAGCGTAGTGCAAAGTGGACAATGGTTTTGGAGCAGGAATGGAGGGTGGACGAGGTATTGTGGAACAGGTGTCCCTCCTAGCAGAGCAATTAAGCACCAAAACGGAATTTCATGACTGTGGTATTTGAATTGCCGAGAGGTTGTGAAGCAGTAATGAAGGGAGTGATTGGATGGGAAGAGGTGGGTGGCGGGTATTATTGGAATGAAGTCTGGGAGTAATCTACGAAGTGTCAGAGGCAAATAGCATGCATGTGGTGGGAGGGAGCATTTTGAAGGAATGTGAGATGAATGAATAACTGTGAGAGGATTGTTATGGGGAGGATGGAAGTCCATTGCAAAAAGCTGTGTCCACAGCGGTCCTCACGCGGGGAAGCATGGTGTTCTGCTGATGAGGGAGGCAGCGGTGCCTCAGAGGTGTCTGTCTGAGGAGCGGTGGATGCATCACCTCGGCAGAATCCATGCTGTGTCATCCAGTCAATGTGGTGATGCAAAAGCCACGTCTCATCACTCGTCACATTGCATCACATCACAGATGAGAGGTCAGTCAGGGAAGAAGTTGAGATTGGTGTCGTGTTGTGATATGGTCGAAAGGGGAAGTGGAGAACGAAGTGGTGGTTGTGGAAGCGTAGCTGGTAGTCTGTCATTTGTGCACGTGGGTGGTATGTATTTGCCTCGTATCTTAGTGAATTCCACGACTTTCGCTTCCCTTGTGTCTCACCACCACTCGTGTTGGACTTGATAGAGAGGTCTTCACGCCACATTGATTCTGAAAACGTCGATGTCAATGATAGGTTCTGTTTGCAATATCAGCAGGTGCCTCATTATAAAACAGGGGATGAGGGTGTTT